TCCTCCTGGAGCTGGTGCCTGCCCACTGGTGGGTGGAGCTGGGTTCTGGGCCCTTTGGTAGGCAAGGCCATTAGACCTAAGTATTTTTTTTTTACTATACAAGAGGAATCCTTAAGAATAGAATGTAGTGGGACTTCCCTGGTGATCCAGTGGTAAAGAATCCTCCTTCCAATGCAGGGAACGTGGGTTTGATCCCTGATCAGGGAACTAAGATCCCACATGCTGCGGGGCAACTAAGCCCACACGCCGCAACTACTAAGCTCACGCACTTCAACGAGCAAGCCCACATGCCACAAACTACAGAGTCCACATGCCCTGGAGCCCATGCGCCACAGCTAGATTGAGAAAAAACCCCACAAGCCACAACTAGATAGAAGTCTGCTAGAGAGAAGCCCGCACATCACAACTAGAGAGAGAAAACCCACCAGAACTAGGGAAAAGCTTGCACACTGCAATGAAGAGCCTGCGCACCACAACTAAGACCTGACGCAGCCAGAAAAATAAAGAAAAAATTAAAAAAGAAAAAGAATGGTATGTAGTGTTTGATGTTCTAGGACATTTCAGTTGACATTTGTCCTGAGGAGAAAACATACTCATCCCCAAAGATGAAAAGAGTTGTAACTAAAAACAAAAAGTTGACTTAAGTGCTTACTTCCTCCTTTGAACTCCAGGTTTATTCACTCAAGAAATGATTCAGAAGGACATAATTATAATTTAAACATGCCATAAAAGTATTATATAATCAAATATGTTTGTAGAAGGCTCAGTAGCCTCATGATAAAGACTTCAACTTTATCCTGGCACCAAAGACAATTGGCTTTTAGGGAATTCTCTTCAAGGTAAAGGATAAATTGTTATTCTGACCCTTCCTACTACTGAGAAAGAGGCACAATGTCTAACAGGCCTTATTGGATTTTGGAGAAAATATATACCTCATTGGGCATATTAATCCAGTCTATTTACCAAGTAACATGAAAGGTTATTAATTTAAGTAGGGTCCTGTTATATTGTGATTTACAATAAGAAATATATATTTGATCTTTGTTTCCACTTCTGACAGAGAGCTCCTAAAACCCTTGGAATTTCCCATGGATGAGAGTGATAAAGGTGTATTTTGTTACGTTACTGAAATAACTTTTGGAAAGTACCTAAGTATGGTGGCTAGGTGCCATGGAAACCAACCATGTAACTAAATGGTTGGAACTTTCAGCCCCACCCAGGACCTCTGGGGAGGGGAAAGAGGCTGGACATTGAGTTCAATCACCAATGGCTGATGATTTAATCAATCGTGCCTACATAATGAAACCTCTATAAAAATCCAACAGGACAGGATTTGGAGAGCTTCTGGGTTGGTGAACACATGGAGATTTGGGGAGTGTGGTGTTCTCTGAGAAGACGTTGAAGCTCTGTGCCTTTTCCCCATATCTTGCTCTATGAATTTCTTCCATCTGGCTATTCCTAATAAGCTTTTATAATAAACTGTTAAACTTGTAAGTAAAATGTTTCTCAGAGTCCTGTTAGCCACTCTATCAAATTAATCAAATCCAAGGAGGAGTTGTTATTGGAACCCACAATCTATAGCTGGTCAGTCAGAAACACTGGTAACAACATGGACTTTGATTGGTGTCTGGAGTGGAGGAGGGGGGTGGTTAGTCTTGTAGGATTAAGCCCTTAACCTGTGGGATCTGGTGCTATCTCCAGGTAGATAGTGTCAGAGTTGAGTTGAATTGTAGGACACCCATCTGGTGTCCAATAATAGCTTAGTATGGCGGGGAAAAAAAAAAACCCCACACATTGGAATTGGGTGCAGAAACTTAGCTCCAGAACAAGAGAAGTCTCTACAATATTTCAAGGCTATCATGCAAGCTGCTCTTGCATCTAACTCCAGTACATCCCATGGTGCTAGAAGGGTCTGTATTAGGTAGGGATCCTGTATGAGCCCATTCACCTGATAGGTGAATCATGGAGCAGACATTTAGGATTTTGGAACAAAATTATGACAGCTTCTTTAGAAGAGAAGAAGAAGAGCTCTTTTTCTGAGTAACAGTTTGAAACTGGAAGTTTATTCATAGACCATCTTGTTATAATGCAACATGAATTGTTCATGAAGAATTAAGAGTTATTGACCCAATAAGCCTCTAAGTTAGGCATGAATAATATTATTCCATTATCAAGTGGAATTGGCATATGTGAAATCAGATACAAGTAAGTTGAGTAAACAAGTGACCCAAATATCCATGGTCTCTATTCTTGAACTCACACTATGGCTTCATGAGACATTCTCTGTGACCAGTGGACTGAAAGAAAAATATTTGACCTTGATTGCAGAGTTTTGTGTGATATCTCAGTATCACCCTAAAATGAATGGCTACATCACTACAGCCCCACTTTGGGGTGGCCAAGGATGATAGTGGTGAAGGAGAAATTGCCCTGTGGGCAGAATTTGCAGCGGTGTACATGGTTGTTCATTTTGTCTGAGAGATAGTCAGAGATATAGATCTACATTGCTTCATGGGCAGTAGCTAATGCTTTACATGGATAATCAGGGACTTAGAAAAAACATGATTGGAAAATTGGTGACAGAAAAGTCTGGGAAAGAAGTCAATGGATAGAACTCCCTGAACGGGCACAGAATGTACCATGTTAATGTTCAAAAAAGCTCAACCTCAGCATAGAAGGATCTTAATAATGGTCAAGATGACACATTCTGTGAACTTCTTTCAAGTCCCTTTCTCTAGTCACACCTATCATTGACAATGGGCTCATGAACAAAATAACCATGATGGCAGAGATGGAGTTTATGCTTGAGCTCAGCAACATGAATTTCCACTCACCATGGCTACCCTGGCTACAGAAACTGCTGAGGATCCAAATTCAACCCACCCAAAGCAGAGACTAATACCAAGCCCCTGAAATAGAACCATTCCTAGAGTAATCAGCCAGCTATCTGATAGCAGGTTAATTATATTGGACCTCTTCTGTTGTGGAAGGGACAGTGTTCTGTTCTCACTCCACAGAAACCTACCCTTCATATGAATTTGCCTTCTCTGCTTGCAATACTTTTGCCAAAATTAGTGTCTGTGGGCTTATAGAACTCTAATGTCTAATTCACTGTGATGGTATTCCACAATGCTTTGCTTCTGACCAAGGAACTTATTTTGCAGCACGTGAAGTGTGGCAACAGGATCACACTCATGGAATTTACTAGTTTTACTATGTTGTCCATCACTCTGATGCAGTAAAATAGTTCTTTTAACAATTCAGTTACTGAGCTAGATGAATGGAAAACTTTTCAGGGCTAGGGTAATGTCCTGCAAGATTCAGTAAATTGTCTAACTTGTCAACCAATATATGTTGCTGTTTCTCCCCTATCCAAAACTCACAGGTCCAGAAAGAGCTGTAAATGAAAAAACACCTCTTGCTGTTACTCCAGGTGATCTACTTGCAAAATTTGTTTTACCTACTCTGCAACTTTTGGCTCTACTGGTCTAGAAGTCTTAGTTCCCAAGGGATAGATGCCTCTGCTAGGAGATGCAGCAATGGCTCCATTAAACTGGAAGTTGATACTGTCTGCTGGCTACTTTGGTCCCCTCCTGCTAAAGAAACAACAGGCAAAGAAAGAGGTTACTGTATTGCTGGGATGACTTGCAACTACCAAGGGGAAATTGGATTACTACAGGACTATGGGAGTAGGAAGAACTACGTCTAGACTAAGGGCACCTCCTACACTCTCATGTCCTGTAGCAAAAGGATCCAGTGCAGACAGGACTGCCAAAGGCTCAGATCCTTAAAAAATGAAGATTTAGGTTACCGTAGCAGGCAAGGAACCGTGACCAGGTGAGAGGCTTGCTGAGGACAAAGGGTAAATGGAATGGGTAGTAAAAGAAGGAAGTTATAAACATCAGCTGTGACTACACGAGCATTCGTAGAAATTAGGACAGTAAGAGTTATAAATATTCCTTACTTTGATATAAATATATTTGTTTATATATTAACCAACTCTTTCTTTCTCCTCTATCTACCATCTAATATTCAATGTGGTAAATGTAGTTATCCGTTGTATTAGTCTCCTTGGGCTGTCATAACAGAGTCCCAAAAACTGGGTGACTTAAAACAATAGAAATTTATTCCCCTACAATCTGGAGGCTAGGAGTCCAAAATCAAGGTGTCGTCAGAGTTAGTTCTTTTGGAGGCTCTGAGAATCTGTCTCATGTCTCTCTCCTACTTTCTGGTGATATCCAGCAATCTTTGGTGTTCCTTGCCTCTTAGATGAATCACTCCAATTTCCACCTACCTAGTTATATGCCATTGGTTCCTTTGTGTGTGTCCAAATTTCCCTCTTTATAAGAGGGATTGGTCCAATTACACCAGCAATTGTATTAGCTCCCATCTTAATCCAATATGACCTTTTTAAAACTTGATTACATCTGCAACTATGCTATTTCCAAATAAGATCACATTTACAAGGTCTGGGATTTAAACTTCAAAAACATCTTTTTGGCAAACACAATTCAATCTGTAATATCCTTATATCTCAGTATTTAAATTTCAGAATTTCAAAGGGAGAGTGGATCTCAAGTATAAGAGGAATGAATATCACCCCCAAAATGGATAAAGTAACACATGAGACTATGCACTTTCATTTTGAGAGAGGATTGGTATCTTTTCAACTGTGGAAGAGATAGTTGCATCTTCTTAGGTAGAAACATCATTTTCTAATGTCTTTGTTTGGAAGTTATATGTATGGTTAAAAGAAGTGTAAATGGATGGCAAGTTGGCAAGGGATAGACTGGGGTGGCTTTGTACAATTTCAACTTAGCTGAATCAGAAGCTGCATTTCCCAGAATTCCTTTTCCTGTTTAATGCTAGGTTAAGGTTTGCCTTAAAAGAACTCTGCATGAGACTTGGAAGGCAGAAGTGGAGCAGTGGCCATCATACTATGAAGAGGGCAACAGGCACTATTGCCAGCAGCGCACATTTTCACCGACCTGGAATCTCACCTTGACTTAGGGCCACAGCTGTGATCGCAGCTCCTGAAGCTCTCTCCAGATCTCCTCTTTTGCTTCACAAGTCCTGCACCAGGTACATGGTCAGCAACATGGGAAAGGGCACCAGATCCTTCTCCAAAGTCACCTACATCATGGAAGTTGGTAAAAGGCAAATGTGCGTTCTAGGTTTTCCTCCTAATTCCAGTTCTTCCTTGTTCTCCTTTACTTCATCTTACCTTTTCTTGCTGGTAGCTCTGCTGACGCACAGAGACTTCAGCCCATCATCGGACACGGAGGCAACAGACTCCCACTGACTTCTTCACTAGATCCCACGGTTGTCTAACCCCATGTATCTTCCACCAAACACTGGCAAAAGTTGTCACACAGGAGGAAATCAGGAATGATGGAAAGAACTGGCAGTCATAGTCTACCACCTTCATAAAGTCAGAAAATCTTCTACAGATAGGTTTAATTTTGGACAATTATTTCTAACTACCTTCTTGTTGCCCATCCTTCTGGAGGCCAGAACTTGCTAGTCATTTTTGACCTCTCTTCCACCCACATCCATATATTATGATTCTCTCCAACTAGAGCATAAAACCAAACATCAACCCATATTTCCTGGGACTGGATGTTACAGGCTTGGGGAATAAAACATAAATATGTGTTGTGGCTTATTTACAAGATCTTACTCACAAACAAGGTGACAACCACATCATCTCTATTCAGTTTGGCTTGCCAGACTTCTTATCTTCCAGAAGAACTGGTTGGAGCAATTTATTAGCATTCTATCTTAATCAACTTCTGAAGTGTAATTCAGTTTTCTTAGTTCTATACTCTGATATAGTTTTTGTTTGTTTGTTTTACTATAAACTCCCATTTTCTCCTGTTCCTCATATTTTATCACCCTTTTGGAAGGTCGTCTTTCCTCATTTACAATCAACAGGTGATTTGGGGGTTATGTACACTTCTTCTTTCATATCTCCCCTTGTACATGTCCTCCATTTGTTAGCTTCCCTGCCTCACATCCTGCCTTACCTGTCCTTTTCCAAAAGTTGAAGACACAAGCTCTTCCATGAAATGTGGACTCTACACCTTGGTTAATATCCATTGATTGGAAATGTATTGTGTGGAAAAAAATGTTTATAGAGGAGCTGAAGCTGCTATTCTGTTTAATGTAAAGTAACAGTGCCTGTTGTATCTGTTTCTTTTTTTTTCATTAGATATGTTACAGATTCATTCTATTAAATTGTTAAGTTCATCCAGTATGCAACAACACTTGTTGGACTCTGAGAATGATATGTGCATCTGTCAGTCAGAGACTGCTTCTCAAGAAGATAACAATGAAGTTCCCAGCTCAGCCCCAAAGCTCCCAGGTACCAAGTGAGGCCCAGGTGCTGTAATGAAATAGGAGCAGGACCCTGGGCAGACCACTCCCTCATATCCTCAGCTCTAGCTCTTCTTTGAAGTACCTAGATAATAGTATCTAAAGCACATTTCCTGAGTTGTTTTTACAGATGCTAAAACCCCCAGGGCTTCCCTGGTGGCGCAGTGGTCGAGAATCCGCCTGCCAACGCAGGGGACACGGGTTAGAGTCCTGGTCCAGGAAGATCCCACATGCCGCAGAGCAACTAAGCCTGTGCACCACAACTACTGAGCCTACACTCTAGAGCCCGCGAGCCACAACTACTGAGCCCATGTGCCACAACTACTGAAGCCCTCGCCCCTAGAGCCTGTGCTCCGCAGCAAGAGAAGCCACCACAATGAGAAGCCCACGTACTATGACAAAGTGTAGCCCCCACTCTCCACAACTAGAGAAAGCCTGTGCACAGCAATGAAGACCCAACACAGCCAAAAATAAATAAATAGATTTATAAAAAAATAAATAAATAAAATAAAATAAAACCCCCATCAAGTGGAAGAAATTAACTACTTGATGACCACGAGCACATAGCCCCCAGACCTACTGGCACCTAAGCACTGATAATGTTAAGCCCTGTGACACTGCCCTGTTACCTCACCATCAGCCAATCAGAGAATCGTGCCCAAGCTGATCACATACCCTGGGACAAACCTCCCTCACCTTACCTTTAAAAATGCTTTGCTGAAACCCATCAGGGAGTTGGGGTGTCTTGAGCAACAGCTGCCCTGGACTCCTTGCTTGGTGCCCTGCAATAAACGCTGCACTTTCTTTCACCGCAACCCGCTGTCAATAGATTGACTTTACTGCTTGAGGGTGAGCAGATGCAAGTTTGGTTCAGTAACAAAACCTGGGGAGTCTGGTTTCTAGAGCAATGGCTTGGTTAATCCATGTAGTTTTCATGAAATGATTAACATTCCTCATGAAGAAAGAGAGGCTAAATGACTCAAAACAGATTAGCAAAAAAGACCTGAGTCTCTCTCAGAATTCTTGGTATGCTGGTTGGCAGGATTTCTATCTGCCCCAGGACAGTCTTGTTCTCAAAATCATAAAGTTCAAAACACATAAATTATTTCCATGTAGCTAAAGGAGGGAAACTATATTCACTGTTCATCTTGTTTGTTAAAAAAAAAAATGAAAAAAAAAGAAAGAAAAGAAAGGGAATAAAACTTACACTATTAGAACTTTAACATTTGGATTTAGAATAAAGAATAAGAAATATGTAGTAAATCATTATGTATTTTAAATCACTAATTATATATCAACCCCTCTCCTTAAATATGTTCTAGCACCAAGAAAATTGTTAGTTTGCAGAGTAGAAAGCACCATAAGAGAAATTTACTTTTCATCCTAACACTTTGTAGTAAACCAAAATCATTCAAGACAACTCTCAGTTAATTCCTATTAACGTCAGTCTCTACTTTTCTAATAAAAGAAAAAGTTAAATCACTTCTAATAGAAAAGCTATTTTTAAAATGTCAAAAATATTTCATTATAACACTTATCAGCAAATATTCACAAGAATAGTAGGTCCATATGTAGTCACGTAGAATTGAAAATGCCAGAATTCTACTTTCTCACCTCAGGCAAATCTTAATTTGCTGTGAATCTTCCCTATGGCCAAATCCCTGGAGGCATCTATTTTAATAAAACATAGAAAACGTTTGAATCATGTTCTTCCCCTACCCCACTCTTACTCTGCTGTGGACTGGGAGCCCATGGAACAGTAGCTGTGTATTAGCCAAGCGTGATGGGGAAGCTGAACTTAGGAATCTGAGCTCAGTTTGCTAGCAAAAAAGTAGGAAGTAGCAACGTGTTGCAGTGTACACTATGTGGTTAATGTTACCAAAGATGTTGAGTGAGCAAATGACAGTGGGGGAGGGAGGTGTCAATACCCCTAGCTGTCAGATTGTCATAAATACTTATCAAAGAGCCACTAGGGAGATCACAGAATTCTAACCAATCTATCTGGCAGTGACCTAATCAAGGCTCAAAGGCTGATTGATATAGAACCTTCTCACGCCTTTAAGGAGGTTACCTGAAGCTTCCGCTTTGTGAGAGGAATTACTTTGGCAGAAGTGGATGGTAGGGCTGTGGCAATAGAGGAGATCATGACCAGGCAGACTGGAGCTTTTTTTACTCCCTTGCTAATTCTCTCTGCTTCGCACTAAGGCCAGAGACTATTGTCTCTCCCTCATCTCTCTTTCCCTTTATAAAAATGTGTGTTTATTTCCAATTATGTTACACGTACAAGTTACTGGAGCTATGAGATGCTTGAACCTGAACTGAGAAAAAGAGGAGGAAAAAAGACACATCTCCAAATGAGTTTCATTTATATAATGAAAATAAATTTTTACACAATCAACAGAAACACACCAAGTTTTTTTTGAGAAAAATATTTTTAAATAAATTTTTGTCTTTTTTTTTTTACATTCTGATATACATATGTAACAAGGTTTATGGCACTGTAACCAGAATCAAATCAAAAAAAAAAGTTAAACAAAGGAAAAAGGTGGGAAAGAAAGTAATTGGTTTTGTTTAATTCCTTTCCAGCTCCAAGCTGGCAACTTTGCACTATTTGTCTATCATTCAGCTGCCAGCTCTAACTCACTTGCACACTCAAAACACCATATTATTGCACAAGAAGCCAGTGAAGGCATATGGTATAATGGTCAGTTCCTTGCTATTTCAAAAAATCTCTTAAACCCAGAGAGGGGGAAAAAGTAATCCAGAGTACGAAACACACAAAATCAACAGTATCCTTTGTCTCTTTAAAGAATGTGGAGGGTTCTTAGACCACTTAAGCTGCCCTGATCATCTCTTTGCACCAGTGAGCACAGCAGGGCTTGGTTTGGTTGGGTTTTTTGTTTTCGTAAGGACAGCCCAGGCAGATCCTAGGTCTTCATGATTCAACGTCTTTTCTACGTACTTTGGGTTCTTTTTAATTGGTTTAAAGTGTAGTATCTTCGGTCTATGAACCTGCACAGACTAGTTAATCGTAAACTCTACAAATAGCTTAAAAGGAAAAGGGGAAGAAACAAATTTTGTTATATTTTTATTGTTGACTTAAAAAAATTACGTCTTTAGCCTCCCTGCTTTGTCAGTTGGCGGGAAGTAAATATCAACGGCATCAAAAGTTAAATTCTTCTCACACTTGTTAAAAATAAAAAGTTTTAAACAAGTTTGTTTCCATTCACAAACTTTACCCCATGTAAAAAAAAAAAAAAGACAGAAAAAAAGAAAAGAAAGAATCCATCCTCCTTCTTCTTCGTCTCCTAATGGAGAACAGTCATCCTTTCCAGCCAGACTATTGTCACACAACCGTCTCCACACCCATCAGCTTTGGTGTAAGGATTCGTGGTGTCACACCGTTGTTTAGGTCTTCCTCAAACTCCAGCAACTGCCCCATGAAGTTAAGGTTTGGGGAAATAATTGGTCGTTTGCCTTTGACAAATTTATAAGCATCAGTCATGGTCATCCGCGTATGCTTCATCAAGTAAGCGATGACAATGGTGGCAGAGCGGGACACCCCAGCCTGGCAGTGGATGAGCAGCCCCTTCCCACACTGGTGAGCTTCCTCTGGAACAAGGGAGAAAGGCAAGAGGTGCAGGGAAGGAGAAAGAGAGATGGAGGGAGAGAGGTTAACGTTTATCTAGACTTGACAATGCCATATTCTGTAGAGAGAGAAGACATCAAAATGGCTTTGAAACTAAGTATAGTTTACTAGTTAATCGTGTATGTTTATGTCACAACCTCCGGAACTGGCTAAAAGTAATATTAGTATGAATAAGAAGCTACATTTCTACGTTTAAAGAGAAGGCTAGGTAAAGGAGTCATTCACAATAATAGCTGACTTCACAGGTGATGGTGGCCAACTGAGGATGGAGCCACAACACAATTAGCCTAAATGTCAAACAAGCTACTGGTTAAGTAGACCTCTCTGATTCAGGATGTTAATTTCTATCGCCATGTTGTGTCACTTGTCAAAACTAGTGTTATTAACAATGTCTCTCCTACCTGTGATGGAGAAAAAGCATTTCTTGTTTTATACTACAGAAATGCTCAGTGCAGAAACTGGTACTAAATGGATAAGAGTTTCAGTCTTAGGAAACTCTGAAGAGGGTTAAAGGAACAAAACTCAACTAGAAAGTTACTACGTTCAGCTTCTCACTAGCAAACCCTATTGTTGCAAAGCTAAAGACTTGCAGTTCTCAGGCATAGGGTGTCACCTACATCTGAACTGTCCAACCCCCTCTGCATCTACACATGCCTTTCCAACATGGCAATGATGCAGAAGATGAAGGAATTAACAGCAATGGCTCAGAATCCAGAGCAATTGAAAAAGGCAATACTTTAAAGGTTTTCAGGTATATTAAAAGCCCAGGAGAATAGCTCTTGGGCACTGCCTGAATGGATTCTTAATGACACTTCTAAACTAAAAGGCATCCCAAAGAAAGCATCCCTGGAAAATATACCAATTAGATGAAGAGTAGGAAAGGAGATGGTAAGGAGAGTCCCGTTCTAACAAAAACTACTTCTACTGGCTACCCACTAGTAGATTAAGAAAAGAAACATTGTGCAAATTTTCATCTTAAAACCCCAGCAATTTAGCTTGCTTCCTATAGATAACCGTATTTTAGGAAAGTATCTCCTGTTTTCAATTTCTTCTCTTCAGCACACACTATTTAAGGACCTCCACCTCAAGATGGGGAAGCATGGGGGTAAGAAGATGAGCCACAAAGGGCTAGGTTTGACCATGATTCCACCTTGTGGCGGACCTTGTGTGAATCACATAACTCCCCAGAGCCTCAATCCTCCTATCTGAGTAATGGGAATAATTGTAACTAACCAGGCTCAGGAGATATAGGAATAATATCACCTGACTCAGGAATAACTAAACTGGCATAGTTAAACCCTAAACCTAGACTCTGCTTAGTTTATATTAGACTCTCTGTGAATGCTATTATGTTTCTAAAACCAGCTGTGTTTTCCTTAAAGCAAGACTATCAGATTTCAGTTTATCCAATGATATATAACAATGAGAATAAAATATTGTGCCTGTGCAGGGTATGATGTGGAACTGTTTTCGAGGTTAAATGCTATTTATTACTT